GGAGACGGAGGAGATGAGAGGAGAGAGAGAGAACGGAAGGAGAGGAGCGAAGACGGAGAGGAGAGAAGAAGGGAGGCGAGAGAGAGAAGGAGACGGCAAGACCGGGAGGGGAGAGAATGGAGGGATAGCGGAGGGAGAGGAGAGAGGAGGGACAGAGAGGAGAGAGAGACGAGAGAGACAGCAGAGCCCAGTGAGAGAAACCCGAGGGGGTGGAGCAGACGCGCGAGAGGAGACGGATGAGAGGCGAGAGAGCGGAGAGACACGAGAGAGGAGAAAGAGGAGAGGAGAGCGAGGAGAGGAGCGGGCGCAGAACTGAAGAGCAGTAGACGAGAAGAGAGAGGACCGAGGAGAGAAAGGAAGAGAGAGAGAGTAGCGAGAGAGAGGGGAGACAAGAGAGAGAGGAGACAGCGGAAAGAGGACGAGGACAGAAGAGACCGACAGATGAGAGAGAGAAGACGAGTGAGGCAAGATGGAGAGAGAGACGCAGGAGACGCAGAGAGGAGGGAGAGAGATGAGAGAGAGAGAGAGGGAGAGGAAAGAGAGAGAGAGAGAGATGAGAGAGATAGAGAGAGAGGAGGAGAGAGCAGAGAGACGAGAGAGAGAGAGAGAGGAGAAGAGAGAAGAGGATCGAGAGCGGTCGAGAGAGGAAGAGACCAGGACGAGAGAGATGAGAGGGAGAGAGAGAGAGAGGAGCAGGTCGAGAGAGAGCGGTCCGAGAGAGACGGAGAGAGAGACGAGGAGAGAGGAGAGAAGACGAGAGACGAGAGAGACCGAGGAGAGAGAGACGAGACGGAGAGAGAGGAGGAGAGACTCTCTCTCTCTCTCCCCCTCTCTATCTCCGTCTTTCTCGACAGCTCGCTCTCCCTCTCTATCTCTCTCGCGCTCTTTCTTTCATCTCTCTCTTTTCTCTATCGCTCCTCTCCCTCTTCTCCCCTCTCTCTTCCTCGGTCTTTCCCGATCGCGCGCTTTTTCTCTCTATCTTTCTCAATCGCACACTCTCTCTCTTTCTCCCTCTCTCGCTCCTCTCTCTTCCCACCTCTCTTTTTCTCGGATTTTACTCGATCACGCGCTCTTTCCCTTTCTCTCCCCCTTTCTCTCTCGATTTTTCTCGACAGCTCTCTCTCTCTCTCTCAATCTTTCTCTCTTTCTGTCACTCTCGATCTTTCTCTCTCTGTCTCTCTCGATCTTTCTCTTTCTCACCCTAACACACATATGCGCGCACACACGCACGTACACACGCACGTACACACACACACGCACGTACACACACACGCATGCGCACGCACACACACACACACACACGCGCGCGCATGCGCACGCACACACACACCCACACACACAAACGCGCATGCATACGCACCAACACACGCACGCACGCACGAACGCACCCACCCACCCCCAACACACACACCCACGCACAAACACACGCGCGCACACACACGTACGCACAAATAAAATTCTTGATTTTGTCTCTTCTATAGAGACGATAAGCTTTCTCGATGTCCTAAACTTTGTAACACTTCAGACATTTATTGACTTCTTAATTATTGGTTTCTACGTAGCCTACTAATTATCATTCAACTGACCTTTATACCCTCAACCTTTGCCGAACACAGTATTGCCAAGTTATGTCCAAATGATAAAGCTAGTTTGCGCATTTATTCCTAGGAGTGTTATAATACCCGAACCGATCAGTCTTCGTGACCACGTGACAAGCGATGGCCAATGTAAAGAGCGACGCACAATTAAATCAAATTAAATTAAATTAAATCAGTTAATTTGCACTTGTGAAAATTACTTTTTTAAAAATATTATATTGGTTGAACAAACTAATTACGAACGCTGATAAATAAAAAATAACCATTAATAATAGAAGTGATGGAGGGCAAAATGACAATTCAGTCTTCCAGTCAGAAACTCCTATAGAATACATAATAACTAGATGATGACAAAATTACTAGAATAATAAATAACGTATAATAGATGAAACCCGATTTAGTAAACGTTTTCTTGCATAAGTTGATAATGTGTAAAAATTATAGTATACGTGCACATCCAAATTAATTACCCAGCTGTTGATCCGACTTGCTATCAGAAGCCATAGCAGGAAAAGCATAGCAGCTGATAGGTGATTGACGATGGGTGGTTCTAAGTGGGCTGCTGAAAGCTGCAAAGATCGCGGGAAGTACTAGCAGATGCGGAGCGGCCCGGTAAGGAGTTGCTCTCACACACATGCCAACAACCGCAGACATGTACCCCGCCTTGATCCACGCCCGAATGTAAACCAGAGATATCGACGGCGATTTTCATATAAAAATGCGCTTGTAGATTGTTTTCGATGGCGAAGAATCGGGAATGAAATCATCCGAAAGGAATGAATCGCATCTAAAAATGATTTTAATAATACCGAAACAAGCAAACTAGCGACTGATCAAGCCTTCCTAAACCGTGATTATGTGACCTTCGTGTTCATATGAGACGCTCTGTAAAATTAATATACGAAACGCATATACTATATATAACGCTGATATCGTGTCATGCCACTATTGTACGGAGTTGATGACGAAACGAGTTAATTGTGATAAAAATTGTTATTGCGGTTGCAGAATTATCAAGACATATATTGTTGCAACGTGCCCGCTGCGTAAATGGCTGGTTATTTAGCCGCCAGAAATGCATAGAAAGCTTTATGGTTGACGGTTTGTTTTAGGCGGGACACACTGAATTGCAAAAAAAAACTTGTTTTTATTCACCGCTGATTGTACGTGCGTGCGTGCGTGCGTGCGCGTGTGCGTCCGTCTGATATATGTAGGTAACAGGGCCACTTGAGAATCCTGTTCCTTCACTAAAGCAGGTTCCTTTATTGTATTAATTTCTTCTAGAAAATAGGGTATGTTAAGAACTACAGAATATAACACCTAGAACTGTTATATAGAAACGAAAGTACATAATAGAAAGTAAGTTTTATATAGTATTATCGAGAGCCTACAGTATTATTACGTATATCTCAACGCAATATACACCCAAGAAAAACCTAAAAAATAATATGTACATAATAACAATATATACAACCTCGAATATGTTTATCTAGTATAAATAGGTATTCGGGTAACCCATTGAAATAAGCTCTCTCTCTCTCTCTTTTTTTCTCTCTCTCTCTCTATATATATATATTTATATAGATATATATATTATATATATATATATATATATATAAATATATATACATATCTACATGTATACATATATGTATATATACCAGAGTATATAAATTTATCAATTTTGCAATAATTCTTTTCTGTCTCGCTGACTATATACATTATGTATACTGGAAACACGTTATAAAGCACACTGGTTCCTTCCTTCAACTACACCAACTACCTTCGTTTGTAAACTACCAACTGAATGCTTGTGCAAACAGCTACTACAATAAATGACGCTTCACATGGATATATTTGGCCTGACAATTATTTACAACGCCATGCACTACGTTGGAATACCACCACGCGAAGTCAATGAAATACCGACAACCATCAGGGAAATTCTACGAGCTCCGTAACGCGTATGGATCTACTGTTATCTAGATGCCTTTAGATTTCCAATCGAGCATGCTATCCAGGTCCTCCTCAGCCACGTCGTCCTCTTCCTCTCCCGCAGCCCCCGAGCCGACGGGTGGTGCCTCTTCTACCTTGGCCTTGATCTGCTCGTGTTTCTTCTCCAGCTGCGTCACCTTTTGCCATCCGGCTCTGCAAGAAGCGACCAGACGCACGTGTGACCACACCGCAAACGCGGCAGCTGTGTAACGAGGGGCCCGCTACACATCCTCCCGTTAACCCATACTCTACGCTCACCTTCTATAGTACGCGTTTTATTTGAACGATCGCAGAGTGCACGTACGTAGACAGAATTCGCGAAATTCCTCGTGGAGCCGCACTCGCTTACGAGAGAACGCAGTCACGATCAATTGACAGCTGATGAGAACCCAGCGTGCAACCGTGAGGATGCCACTGTAAGTCCAGACGTCCCAAGTGTCCCGGTCTCACCGGGATCGTCCCGGTACGACATGCTGGTCCCGGTGCCCCATTAAGAGTCCAGAAAGTTCCGGTCGTAACATTTTTCAGCCATATTTTAAAATTTACATCAGTAAATTACTAAATTTGCCGTGGTTGTTGATGTACTTTGATTCCAGCAAACAATAAAATGCTACAAATGTCAAACTTTTTTCTTTTCTTTTTTTGCATTTTCATTTTATTTTACATGTATACTTTATAAAAGATGGTGGTGCGCCGTGACAAACACATGTCACAGCCCGTCACAATTTTTTTCCTGTTTTTGCGCACCGCGAAAAAACGGCGATGGACCATTATCACAAGTGATCCCTTTCCTGAATTTTCCCAACTTGGAACCTCTGCAAGTCTTACGTATCATAGAGCGATAGCAATCCTACTTACATCTGCTCGTCGATCTCCTCAATCTGCCGATCGGTTATTCTAACCTCGTCTTCCTCCGCGACAATTGCTTCTGAAACCTATCGCCAAAAGACAAAGACAGTCTAGTTTACTACAGTGGTCTCCTGCTTCATTGGGACAGGTCGGGAAACAAAAAAAAACGTCCCGAAAACATTTTCAGTCGCACATTCATGCCTACTTGTACCTCACACAATACGTAGCTCATCGGGGCAGGTATAAGGCACACGTGAACAGTAGAGCGCAGACAGTTATGTCTCAGCTATGAACACCACCTAGGAATGGCAAGTTTAGTTCTGAAAAATGTTTTGCGAATTTTGTGAGCTCATTACGTTCACAATTTGCTAATACCCCCTTCACACCATAGCCCCGATCTCACTACGCTCGTACTACGCTCTAAGAGCGTGGTGAAAACGTGTAGAACGCAGTATGGACGTATATGGACATACTGCGATCGCGATCGAGCGCGGTGCAGTCACCATGGAGAGCGTGGCCAAACTTTGAGCATGTTCAAAACAATCGTGGTGCGAGCGTGGCGGAAAGACAGCGCAGTGCGTGCGTATTAGAGACGTACAAGGCGTAGTACCCACGTGACTCGAGCGTAGTACGAACTTAACGATCGTATCGCAAGCGTGTCGGGTGCGTGAAAATTGACGCATTACATGTTAGTTACGCTCAGATCACATCCTGCGAACTTGGGGTATAAATTGGGGTGCTACCCTGGCCACCCCACCAGTTCAGTGTCCACTATGGATGAGGCAACACTACTCCATGCCATGTTTCTCGTAGAAGGACAACTCGAATTACTTGATTGCCAAACCCTCTGATTCCAGGGCAACACTTGATGGAGATGACGGACTCCTGCACCTCTTTGGATTCTTTGCTCGGCCTTTCCCCCTTCCACGGCCTCTCTCCTTGTCTTTTGGCGGCATAGTTGTGTCAGTAGAAAATAATCTTGATGTTAATCTTGATTTAAGTTGCTAATGTTGATCTTAATTATCTTGATAATCTTGACAGCACGGCAGAATGAATGATGTCTAGAACGCGGCGCGGTATTTATATGGTCGTTGCCTGACTAGAGCGTGATTGGCGCGCAGTTAAGGCACGGTGAGCGTTGCTTAGGCGCAGTGGAAGCGTCGTTCGAACGCAATGCGATCTGATTGGTCGCAATAAAGACGCAGTGAGTGCAGTGCAAGCGTGATGCGGGCGTGATGTTGAGCGTGGTGAAAGCTTGTTGAGCGCAATGAGATCGGGGTAAAGACGCACTTAGATCGTAGTATCAACGTAATTAGATCGTAGTATCGGCGCTGGGCCCGGCTGGGGCCCAATTGGGCCACGCTCTCAACCACGCTCACCACGCTCGGGCAAATTTTTTTGAGCGTGGGGCGATCGTGATGAGCGTAGCTCTAGTGTGAAGGAGCCTTAAACAGCCGAGAATTGTCTGTTTGCTTTGAAGTTTAGGACCGTGTTACAACGTTCCTTCATTCTGCAGTAAATATCCCATTTAACCAAGGCCCTGTGCCCTCTATCTGATTAAAATAACATATGTAAGGATTGGTTTTCTAAGACGTGTCGTCTCAGTGATGTGCCCATTTATCCTACTGGGGCTGATAATGTAGTATAAGATAATATACTATATGTAGTATACTAAATATATATAGTATACTATATGTAGTAGATAATATAGGGACCTTTATGTTTATATTTTAAGCTCTTTTGATTCTTTATTGTTTTAATTTCTACTAATACACTACTATTATTATTATTACTATTATTAATCATAATGTTATTATCATGAAAACCATATTACCAAATTATAGTGCAGAATAACAATAAACTCAGATAATCATGATGGGTTAATTACCCAAGGAATACTTACGTGTGTTTCCTCTGTAATCACCTTCTGAAATTTTTCCCATTCCTCATCCAAAGGGTCTTTGTACTCAATCTTGCGAACCTACAAAAATCCACACCACTTTCATATTACAGTAGCGGTTATTGGCAGCAGCTAATTTGACTTCTAAGGTTTCAGTCCTAATAAACCCATGATATACCTGCTTATAAAATATTGTGCTTGACAGCTAGGTGGTAATTGTATTTGCGTAGAGTATATATATAACTTGTTGACAGCCATGTACGAAATCAGAAATATAGAGCAGATAATCTATAGCACACTTCACACGCTCAGAAAATTACAGTCCGCAAAAAAATTATGAGTTTGCAGTCTGAAGTTCAAAACTAAAGATAAAAATAATGCACGTACGTGCACATTTTGCAGATTCAATCACAAAATTTAACTAACAATAAACCTCAGACACAATGCAGAATATTTCTTTCAGATTCAACAAAACAAAATGTTGTCAAATGTTTACAAAATGTTGCCGGTAAACAAAACAATGAGTTGCAATGTCAATAGGCATTGCTGAAATTTCGTGTCATTTTTGTCCAACTAGAATGGCATGAAAGGCGTTCTTTCTCACGTTTAAAAGCAGCTATAGGTCGCTTTACGTCATAAACGTATTGTCACATTGTCAGTGTTTGGAGGCTATGCCACAATCATTATGGGTACAGACATCCTAATTGTAACTATCATGACAAGCTGAGTTATACAAAAAAGGTTACATGAAGTAACCTGGAATCAACCAATTTTTGATGAGTGATGCAATAATGTTCATTCTGTGTTTCTACCCCTATACGTTGATCAACATTGCAAACATTGGTCCATGTGTGACATCACTTCGCACCACAGACACGATACAACCATAAACCTGAAACGTTTCGTCCAACAATCACTATACACTACTGCACTACTGCACTACTGCAGCTCACCACACTGTGGGTGCACAACAGAGCCAAGAACGTTGCGCGCTGGCTATCTGTAACACCTGCTACTGATTACACACGTTTGATCACCCATTGTGAGATGGTTGTGGTGTGCGTTTTTTAAATTTTATTGGGACATTTGCTGTAAAAATATGGGAATTCGCTCCTCTGGCATCGACCGGCAGAGCAGAAATTTCAGGGAGTCACATAGACGGCAGGGTATGGCAAACCAGAGCTGATAGTATATCAGGGAGTATTTGTCTCTGGCCTTACATTAATTTTGAACCCTGCAAACAACACATAGCTATGAGCACAATGATGAAATTCACACATACTTTAGCATCCATTTTCAGATCGTCGAAAAATCCTTCTGGTAAGTCTTCCGCACTCTTAACCTTTGTCATTTCCTCTTCGCCATCATCTACCGTACTGGCAGCTTTTACCCCACTATTAGATACATCTGAAATTCAGTGGACAGGCGCTATGAGTGGTAGACATTCATCGCATTAAAAACCTGCAACAGTTTGGCCAATTAAACTTTTTAAAGAAAATTTAATCGAGGAATACTGCCCGCGACCAGAAGGTATTGCTAAAAACGCAATAAATTACTTTGGTTATTTCGGATGAAAAAACTAAATCCCATTTAATAAACATTATACTCTTCATTCAGCATTACAAATTTACTATTGCAATTTTATACATAGTAACAAGGGCACATACACGATGTAAACATAACCAAACAGTTGATATATTTTTAATGACAAGCATTAAAAAAATTGACCATGTCAGCAAGTATCAGTGCTGAGTATAAATGATAATTCGATATAACTTAAACAAGTTATCACCTAATATAGTTAATATAGTTTCTATTTAACAACTAAATGCACATGAGCGTGTATGATACCTGATGGCAAGTGTGACCTGGCATCACCACCTCCACTAATGACAGAGCTTCGTGATGTCTGAGGAGGTGTTTCATCTTCATCCTCTGATGATGGCGACGAGTACATGCCTAGCAGGCTGGTAGATGGCGCTGCTTTCCCAGAGTCAAAAAAATCTGCTGGCAACCTGAAAAGCAAATAGTTGCATACCAGATGATGACACTCTGGTGCTCTCTTCATAAAATGACATATCTCGAGCCAAGACCGTTTTGCAAAGTAATAATGATGTTTGCTGAAATATTACTCACCCAGTTTCATTAGATTTTCCTTCTGGTGTCACAAATCCTAAAGCCAAACGATATAATACCAGTTAAATTGACTACGTCACGAATTTTCTATGGTAAATTGCCATTTTTTTACATGAAAAGTAAGAACTAACGGGACTAAACGTATCGTCAAATTCTTACCCGATAAGATTGTTTCTCAACTAGTTAAAAATCCAAAAAACCTGGACGATTTGACATTAATTTTCCCCAACATTAATTGCTTGCTATGGGCTATGTATGAGTCACGAGTGTATGTTCACATCGAACAATATAGTAAAACAGGAAGTATAATGCAGCAATTTAACCATAAAAAGTAAACAGAATTACTTATCTTTTGTGAAAAAGTGGAAATATTTTTTTTATTTTTACTATTTACGGTGACATAATCACTTTAACTGCTTTACAGAACGACTAGCTGTCTGGCTGGAAAATAAGTACAGCTTTTCTTGTTCATCAATTTGTGCTCAGCTCAAGGCTATATTGGGATTCTTATGCTTATTTATTTTATTGCAACTGTGTGTTCACAAAAGTTACACCTACATACAGACTTACTAAATACATTTGATACAGACATCATGCGCAGTTCATTATAACCGATAAAAAGAGCATTAATTCTCAATTACATTATTTGATAATTATGTTAATTTTAATTACTCGATTGTGATGCTAAAGAGTAAATCATTTAAGGGTGACAGAGGGCCATTACTTACCTTTTTGTTTCTTTTCTGACACTGCTGTTTCATATTTGTCATTGCTTTTTCGTTTTAAACCAGACTGTGGTGACTGTGAAGCTAATTTTGCTGGCTCAGCTTTTCTATTTAGGCCAATGATATGCTAAAAATATAAATGATTTTGTGTAACAATAAACATTTTGTGTTATGTAAAAAAAAGAGAATAATCCCCTGCAGTTATAGCAACAATGGTTCGAATGTAAAATTTCCACTTTTATGGAATATATACACTTGTCACTTACATTTATCATATTACAATAAACTATTAAATAATTAGCTATAATATAGCCATGCAGTTGATGAGAGCATGCAATTACAACATTCACTGGTTACATGGAAAAAGTAGCACCTATATGAAAACCTCTATTATGGATGTTTTCGGTAACCATGAAAATTTACCTGTTTATGTGTTCTGCCATTCACATGGGCTGGCCACAACAAGTCGGTCTTTACTTGTGTAGAGCAAATCGTGCAGTATAACTGCCCCAAACTATTATATGTGTTATGGGTTAAGAAATAAACCACATGACAATTTATTTTACATACTTATTTTAATGATGAATTAAAAGTATGACACAATATATGACACAAAAGTATGACACAAAGGTACTGTAAAAATATTTGCTCCCAAAAACGATCGCTTGAAAAAGATCCGACGAGTGACAATTGCAGCCATTGCACTAACCACATGTGTAGCTCTTTGCTCTGCCACACACAAACAGCTATGATGGAGAAAAGAAGTAAACAGATATGTAGACCTATTTCAGCCATATCTAAATTGAAATGGAGGCAGTGCTAGTGAGCCGAACTCTGCAGCAGCACACTCTCACCAGGTTCCCTGATAAAATCACACATAGCCATGTTGCAGAGAGAAGAGCTCAATGGGTAGATAGAGTAGTACTATCCCAGCTTTACTCTTGTAGCATCCCTTGGTCCCACTATAAAGGTTTCTACAAACAATGGTGTTGAGAAACGGCATTGATTCTGCAGCAGAGATCGCTAAACTGTACATAGCCCGTGATAAAACAACAAAACATGCGCTAGCCAGCAAGCTAAATATCCTAAATTTTGCCTGCTGTCCTCAAAACAAACTCAACTCACCATAATTTGGGCAGATTGAGCCATTTCTTGAACGCAGCAGAACCAAAAACACAAATATGCAGCCATGTCTGATTTAAATAGCGACAGCACTAGTGTGCAGGTGGACAACAGTTAGCCTGTCAGACTGCAAAGGTTCAATGCAATTTTTCAGCACTGTTGTTCATGAAGCCCTACAGTAGGAGCGAAGGACTACACAGTTAAAGCTAAAATCAGTACTAGCCCAACAAGATAACTTAAGCCAGGCTTCAGAGGTTTTGCAGACATTATTTAAATCATGGTAAGCCTATGGCAGTGCCTTGCAAAGAAGTTCAAAAGCAATTGTTACAGAAGAAGAACTCTACCTTTGCCCTGAATAACTGAAAATCATATGGAATATTCTTAATAAGAACTCACATCATTCACATTGAATAGTAGACATGCTAACCAACTATTGCAGCCAGATGTGATGTGATCAAATGTAAATATAGGGTTGTGTGGAGGAAACTTGCAGAGATGGAGGGAACTCATTGTAGAGAAAAATAGTTTGATCAAAAATGTTTTAACTTAGTATTTTTATGCAATAACTTAAAGGGATCCTTTACTCTAAGTTCTAGGGTTATTTTCAGTTAATTTAGGTTAAAATTACGCTACATAAAAAGTTTCATGGTTCAATCACCATTAGACATTTTTTTTTTATGTTTTAAAACTGACGACTACATTTTTATTACAGCGACGGTGGCGCCACTCAAAGCGCACGATCTGAAAAGTTGCGCAAAATGACTTTTTAGCCAAGGGCTACAGACCGAGGGTGTTTCTTATTTATTTTAATTTAAAAGCAAAAGGATTGTAATGTCTTATAACGACGTTTTCAGTATATTTATGGATAAATTTGTCCTAAAATAAACATCGTTCGGTTAAATAGCATTTAGTTATAAATATAATTGCACCTTGTGATTAGCCTCGGTCTGTAACGTGCAAAATATATTGCGAAATGCGCAACTTTTTCAGGGTGGGCAGCACGGTCAATGGCGCCGTTCATTTCGTAGCGTTGATGTATAATTAAATTATAACAATTAAATTCAAGAGATATTTCAGCCATCCTTTCTTGTAGCCAACAGCTTTAGATCATCCCCCAAACTCACACCGGCTTGATGGTGGAAAACTTTCTGCAATTTGTGCATAGGTGTGAAATTATTTTGTGAAAATTCTAAATTAATCTATTTACCCAACTAATTTACTAGTATAACATTCAAGTCATACCACTTCTGCACGAAATTTAGCTTGTCATGCGGTCAACGATGGCAGCTGTTGGATGTGTATTTCGTGCTGTGAAAGTGTGAAATCCAGCGAGGCGTCGAGCGAATTTAGGGATCCGCTTTCCTACCTGCTATATATATTAGTGTAAGCGTGCAACAGTGAGGCCACGAGAGCAATGTTGCGCGGCAGCGTATATGGTTCACGTAGGATTTGGACGAATTGACAGGAAACTGTCGGCAATAATAGGTGAAAGAGAGTATAGAAACATTAAGAATTTGAGTCGTAATAGATTTCGTATTTAGTTAGCATTATATTTTATTGAAACGCTTCAAGTGCCTGTGGGAAACGGTAGGCCTAGATAGTTTTTATAAAGAATCTCTAATAACTTTATAAAGGGACTCTGGCCCTAGGCTAGACTGAATGAATCTTCACACTCACACAGTCACGCTGATAGGGTCTATGTCGCCGGGGGGTACTGCCGGAACGTACCCTGGGTACGGGTCGCGGTATACCGGAACGTACCCTGGTACTATATTATATGCCGGACCGTACCTAGCCTACTCCACTACTGAAGTCTAGGGAGTCGCCTACGCCTACTCCCTAACCTAATCCTACGCTAACCATATCAAATAGTGACCATGCAGGGTAACGTTCTGGTATAACCGGACGCGTACCCCAGGGTACGTTCCGGCAGTACCCTGGGGGACATAGACCCTTAGACCGATAATTCTGTCCCATATAACCTTTTTATATTTTGGTGAGGGTTTTACCCCAATGGTTATTTTACCCAAATTACCCAACATGGTTATTTACCCAAATGGGTTATTTTGGTGAGGGTTATATACCCCAATATAACCCTCACCAAAATATAAAAAAGGTTATATGGGACAGAATTATTCGGTCTAATAGACCCTATGTCTATGAGCCACATTTAGCTCCTTGATCAGCCACAGTCACAGTGACACTCACTCACAGTCCACGCGGTAGCGATTATGATATAAACTGAAAACGAATGATACTACTGCTGTATTGTAATCATCACAAAGGATATTTAGCATGGGGGGAATCAACCCCTTTCTTTTTAGATTGTCCATTAGTGAGTTTTGATTTCATAAGCCGTCGTAATTCACTCTGATCTAATTTAACTACATTTGGCTGGTTCTTTTTCGTGGACGCAGACATTTTTGCAAATCCCGCAACACCTCTGCCTGCCATCTACCGGTGAATATGTTCACGTGTTTGTAAACACGACTTACAAGATTCCCACAAAGTAGCTAAAATATAGCTAAATTTGCCAATAATATTTATTCCAGTTTTAGATACCTTGTATATAAAAAATGTTTTTCATGTGAGCATGTGCAAGAGTTTTTACAGGACCAACGCCCTATGAGGAACACATCAGTAGTGAGAAACATAGAAAGAAGGCTGTGGTATGGAGAACAAAAGTGTTACTAATTAGTAATATTAATAATACTAATAATATTAGTAATAATAGTTTAATACTAAGTAATACTAATACTAATAGTAACTATTAGTATTGCTATACTAATACTAGTAGGAGTAGTAATACTAATAGTAATACTATCCCAACTTTTTGGCAAACTCAAACTGTAATAAACTGTTATATCATGCAATGTGGTTCTTGAACGACTAGTACTAGTAGAGCCTATTTATACACTACAGGAATACATACAGAAATAACGCTGATGGTAATGCGTCAGGTTTATTTTCTGGATTTATCTGAAAAATGCAACAGCCAATACCTCTGTTTCAGTGTTTTATAGAAATTATACCTTAGTTCTTAGCTTTAGTTTCTTTATTGATTACTACAGGTTGATGGTTCAGCGTCGAGAGCAGGGCAGCATGCGCCAGGAGCAGATTCAACAACCCGAGAATGTAGCGATGTGCCATCGAGCAGCCAGCCTGCAACTAATACTGTCGGGTGTTTGCTCCCTCTGGAATGTGTCATTTGTAAGAAATCTTTTTCCGGGCAAGCTCCAGCAAAGCAGCACTTTATGAGCAAAGTGCACAAGAAGAGAGAGCAGCATCTGCAGGCACTGAATGGAACTTCATCAAGCGCTCCTCCGACGCACACTTGCAGCGTTTGCACGATGGTGTGTCCATCTTCTGAAGCCCTGTCACTCCATCGTGCGAGTTCGGGCCATGCTGAGTGTGTCAGCAGTACCGCACAGCAGTCCCAGCTTGCGCAAGCTGACAGCAACGTGGGTTCATCCGCGACGGAGGGTGGCAGTGAGCCACAGCAGCTCGATGTAGGTCCGGAGCGATACTGCAAAGCCTGCGAGTGCAACATCTCGGGTTGTGCACACTATGCGGGGGATCTTGACAGGGGTAGGGTGGCTGCCGATGGACATGGTGAACCTCTTACTAGCATATCACAGCAGGGAATTGAGGCGATGGACTCTTACAAGCAGCAGGTCAGCAAGTTGCATATTCAGACACCACCTGACGTCTCGGTTCATATTGCCTCAGTACCCCAACCAAAGGCGATTCAGCGGTTAGCTCCTCTCGAATCCCCACACCCACGCTGTGTAGAACCACTGGACATGAGTTTCTGTAAACTCTGCAACTGCCCGTTTTCTGCACCAGGAAATGCCCAGCAACACTATAGTGGGAAGATACACAGGAAAAACCTGAGGAAAGCTGGAATTATCGTACAAGCGCCAGCACTCGCAGTTGATGTACAAAAAGAAGAGGAAGAGGAGGGTGAGTACCATAGTGACGAGGGCGAGATTCAAGAAATTGTCAAGAAGACGCCAAGGTGCCGTAAACGTAGGGGTCCTTCTAGGAGTGAAGTGTCGACAAAGAGAAAACCCATTCTACTACATCAGGGGTGGGTGAAAGGTCCCGTGTTGGAGTCCTGTCCAGGGGGTGTCATAATGCCGGAAGATGCTCCACATTCAAACTATTACAATGATTTCAATCTGCGCACAGAGCACGCGGCAATGAGTGAAGTACCCCCGAAGAGAAGTACTATTCTACTACACCAGGAGTGGGTGAAAGGCCCCATGTTGGAGTCCTTTCAAGGAGGCGTCGTCATGCCGGAAGAGGCACCACAAGACGCTCGCTGGATTTCACACTTTCACAGCACGAATACACATCCAACAGCTGCCATATCTTTGTTTCTATGTCAAGAACAGTGTTCACTTGTTATAAAAACATGCATGTCTCTGTTCGTAACCGAGCTGTGTCACGCGAAATCACACAAAGACTGACGAAATTCTCGCGTTCGCGAACTTTGCCCCGTAATGTAAATGGCTGTCAGAATCAGGGCTATATAGACTGGGACTCGCTCCCACCTCGATTACCCATCGAGAGACTAAGCTAAGCCGAGAGGTGGGAGCAAGTGCCAGTCTATGGACTATAGGCGGCGCAGGTGGCACACTGCTTTCCAACTCCCGTACAAGCCTCGCCATTTGAACATTGCAAAAACGTTGCAGCGTAAGAATGAGGTCACGAAGAGCGCTGGTAGGCGTTTCCTGATTCTGACAGCTATTTACATTACGGGCCAAGGTTCGCGAACGCGAGAATTTCGTTAGTTTGTGTGATTTCGCGTGACACAGCTCGGTTACGAACAGAGACAGTATGATTTTATAACAAGTGAACACTGTTCTTGACATAGAAATAAACATGGCAGCTGTTGAATGTGTATTCGTGCTGTGAAAGTGTGAAATCCAGCGAGCGTCGAGCGAATTTAGCGATCCCGCTTTCCTACCTGCTATATATATTAGTGTAAGCGTGCAACAGTGGAGCCGCGAGAGCAATGTCGCCGGCAGCGTATATGGTTGCACGTAGGATTTGGACGGAATTGACAGGAAACTGTCGGCAATAATACTAATAGGTGAAAGAGAGTATAGAAACATTAAGAATTTGGTAGTAAATAAATTTCGTATACAGAAATTATGTGCATCAGTTGATGATACACAGAAATCTGGGCCCAAGGATAGAGAACATTGGTCCCAATAAAACCAATGTGCCTAAACCTAACCCTATCCCTAATTCTAACCCTAACTCTAATCCTAACCCTAATCCTAACCATAACCCTAACCTAATATATTGATGTAATATTATATTTATATTGATGTAAATTACATTGGTTTTATTGGGACCCATGTTCTCTATCCTTGAACCGAAATGTGTGCATCACTTCGTGATACCTAGGCTAAGGTGCCTAAAGTGGATTTGCACCCACTCTGCACTCACAGTCCACGAGTAGGATTATGATATAAACTGAAAACGAATGATACTACTGCTGTACTGTAATCATCACAAAGGATATTTAGC